AATATAACCTACTGCGCGAAAGTCTTGGCACAAAATATTCGGTCATTTTCAGAATACTTATTAGCAACTGGTAAGAGTCAAAAACCGTCAGTTAGAATCAGACTTTTATGCTCTTTCCGAATATATGTTCAGATTTTTTTGCTAGTTTAATGTTGATTAACTGTGAGCAAATGTTTGAAAGGGCCAAAAATGAAGTCTGTACAGAATATTTTTGGTCTATTTTTTGTATTTTCATTAAAAATTACTTAACTCAAAACATGGAACATCCTTTAATACAGCAGTTTTGTAGAGCAAAGTTTGTTCTACAAAACTGCTTTCTCTACTTTTCTTCTTCTCTCTGACAAAAATGTTTCAGATTTATTGATTCTAAAAGGCAAGTTTTGAAAAATGGATTTTTTCACAGAATGCCGTTTTACGTAGAAAGTAGCTAGCAGAAAAACTTCTATAACTTTTGATTCTCTTGAGTTGTAAGCCAATGTAATACCTCATTTTGTAGAGAATTAAATGCTCTGCAATAATACCTATTTCAAACTGCCTCGAAATACACCCTACACAAGTTATAGATTACACAAAAAACTCCTCTTTTTCTGTCTACAGACTTTATTTTTGACTCTTTCAGACATTTACTCACAGTTAATCAACATTAAATTAGAAAAAAAATCTGAACATATCGGAAAGAGCACAAAAGTCTGATTCTAACTGACGGCTTTGGTGTCCTCTCAGTTTGTCCCAAATTGATTTCTCAATTCGTCCCATGAAGCTTTTTTTTTCAGTTCATCTTATATATTTTTTTGTCCATTCGTCCCAGATATCTATGCTTGCGCCTCAAAATAAATAAATTGTTGTACCATCAAACAGTTTAGTCGACGGTGATAGTATTGTAGACAATACAAGGTGCGTGTGTACGTGGCAAAATGTGTCGTGTTAGCCACTACTCTCATAAATTTAAATCTAAATAAGTTAAATTGTTTTGTTCATTAAAATGTTAATTTTCACGTCTACTGAAAAAGAGTAACCAGTTTTGAATTATAATGAATTTTTATGTTCTTGTTTTCGCTTTTTAGCTCTCATTGTTTGTCCAATATAACTGTTTATATACTCACAACAGTCATATATATCACCGTACACAAGAGGTACGGACAATTATATTAAAGCTAATTAGGTGTAAACTAATATAGGCCGAACTGAGAGAGAAGTGTTGATAGGCCGAACTGAGAAAAAAAATTCTGGAACGAATTGTGAAGTCAATTTGGGACGAACTGAGAGTAAACCACGGCTTTTGACTCTCAACAGTTATTAATAAGTGTTCTGAAAACGAACGAACATTTTGTGCCAAGACTTTCACGCACTAGGTTAGTATTATTCTAGTCGTTTAGTTTAGTTATCAAGTTTGAACATTTCATTTCAAAAAGGAAAAATGAAAAAGTGTCTTTTATTTTGTCAATTTGATGTCGATCTGACATAAACAGCCATCATACAAAATAAAAATAAACAGAAAAAGTGAGAAAAAAGAAAAAATTTATCATCAATTTTCATAATAACTATTTCTTAATATAGCAGCATGTACACATTGTTTTGGTAAATTTGACAGAACAAAACAAACTTGAAAAATCATCTGAGAAAATTTTATATATATATATATATAAAGAAAATTTATTGAATAATAAACAACGATGACAAATTACATTTAAAAAAATAGAGTTTAAAGGTTTAAAAATTTCATGTTTATACGATTCAATGATTTAATACAATTTAATGTCGACTATTAATAATGAAAATTATATTGAAAAATATCCATTCAAGAATATTCTAGATAATATTGATAAACTACAACAAATTGTCATTTCAAATGCGTTAACAAATTCATTAATAAATACTGATTTGAATTATTCAAAAATAGAACAAATTGCTAATGATTTATATAATACAAGTCAATATATATATGAAATAGTTGAAAATAATTCTAAAAATATAATAAAAACTATTCAATTAATTATTTGTCAATTTCTTCAGATATCATTAATTGATAATTGTGAAATAATTTTTAATAATATTAATATAAATTTATTTATTCAATCATTAATTAATATTATTAATGTTGATAGTATAAAAAATGCATTTAATAATGATGAGAATGATGATGATTCACGTAAAACATTTTATAGTCTATTTAATATACTAAATTTAAATGGTATTATAAAATATTTAAGTGATGATGAATATATTTCATTTAAGTTATCAAATTCATATGAATATTTTCTTAAAATAATTATTTCTTTATTAATACAAACATCAAAAAATATAATATTTGTTAAAAATGATTTAAAAAATCAAGAATTTATATTAAAATTATTAGTAAAATATGTTGATAATTATTTAACAGTGAGTACATTATCTACTCTAGTATTAGAACAACAAGAACATGAAAGACATCCAATTTTATGTCGAACTGTCAGTGTACAGATAATTCTCTCATTTTTTTACAATATGATAGATAAAACAATTCTTGTACCAAATTTTATAAATACTAATTATCATGAATTTGTTATTAAATGGATAAATATAGAAAATTTACAAATAGATGATCAACGAACAATTATAAGTATTATACATGATTTAGCTCAACATGATTTAGGTGCAGAAGCATTAAATAAATGTCATGCAATACAAGTATTAAAAGAATTTAAAAAACGTTTATTAAATGTTGATCATGATGAATATCAAGATTTAAAATTATTTTATTGTATGATTATATCATTATTATCGGATCCAAAAGAGAATAAAGAAGATCCAAAAAGTATGAATAAAATTCTTAATCAATTATTACAAACAGCGATTGATGCATCATTATCAAAAAATTTTATATCATCTAATGGATTTCATATTAATGAACCAATTGTTGTTCTAACAAAATTATGTGTACATGATGATATTTTACATTATATTTTAAATGAAGCTAAAGTTAATAAACCACAAACATCAATAGTACAATTTATTAGTGATTTATTAATACATTTTCGTGGTGCATTAGCCACAGAAGATGAAACAGATCAAATGACATGTATTGCATTATTTAATCTTGTTTGGAGTATATCGTTTCATGAGCAATATATTGAAGAATTAAAATCGAATACAAAATTTTTGTTAACTGTTAAAAGTTTGGCAAATGATGATGGTGAAGCGTTGATTGAACAGTACGTACCCAAACATATGGCATCAGTAAAACAAGCAGCAAATGGAATATTATGGAATTTAGACGAGAATAATCCAGCGCGAGTTTTAAGAACATCGACGTCTGTCACCCAACAGGCTGCAGTTGAAAATGAAATCAAATCACAAATAACGAACAAGGGTAATAGAGTGATGGTTATGATTAGTTATTCCCATGCTGATGTAAAGTTTTGTCAACAGCTGGTTACTGCACTAAAACAAGGTAAAATAGAGATTCGTAGCACTGGTCACCGGAAATTTAACTTTCCACTTACATCTGTTGTATTATAGATGAGCAACTTGATATCTGGGTGGATTTTTCATATTGCCATACTGAAGATTTATGGGAAGAAATAGGTATTGCCATAGAAAAAGCAGATGTTGTGTTATTTCTCTTGACAAAAGACTATTTTGATTCAAAATCGTGTCGACAAGAAGTTATGTATGCGAAAGATTCGTTAAAAAAACGTTTTATTCCTGTTTATGCCCAGAAAGAGTATATTGCCACTGGATGGCTCGGTGTTCGAATAGTTGGTCCGCAATATGTTCGTTTTGGAAAAAAAGCATTTGATAGTACTGTTGTAGAATTAAAAAAACTCATTTTGGATGATGGTAACAGCGAAAAAATCGATGTGAAAAAACGGCCATCCATCACCGTTCCTGTTCATACTGAAACAATTAAAAAAGTTGAACAAATAAACGCAGAGAAGAAACCTTTTGATGAAGGCGCGATAGAGTGGAATACAAAAACAGATGACAATTTAATGATGATAAATGAAGATCTTATTACAAAACCGCTTCATCAATGGACCTTCAAAGATGTCACCAGATGGTTTAATCAAAATCGTATTAAACGAGAATTGCGAGATCTTTATGAAGAATTTTATAGCGGAACAGACCTTATATTTTATTATCAAAGTTTAAAAGCAGATTGGCAAACAGAATATTTAGATATTAGGGAAAGATATTTGAAAAAATACGATAAAACCTTGTATAGAGATCAATTTGTGCGTCTCGTAAGTGCATTAGATCGTCTATCAACCGATAGGTGTGAAGTTAAATCTACAAAGAAATCAAAGAGTTTGAGTATGTGTAGTATTGTTTGAATCAAGTCCTTCCGCTTTTCTTAGTGAATGTATATTTATCTAAATAAATCCATACGCTTCCGAATAAAATATCGTACAAGGTTAAACTTTATTAAATAGATCTCTTCATTTGAATGTTACTATATACATCATTCAATATTATGTTGTTTCTAATTACCAGATCCTTTCAAAATCATCACATCTGACTGTGTTCTTCCAAATATTTTTTTATTTTCTTATCTACATTAAAGATGAACATTTATCTAGAAGGTTTTATTTGAGTTAGGTTGTTTTCAAAAACTAGAAATTCAAATGAAAACACTATTTTGGATACGATTTAGTTGACTGTTGTAGATATGACTTACATTATGTAATTTTGTGCACTTTTGCTTCCTTTTTACATTTTAATGAACTCTATTATGCCATTTATTTATTGTATTGTTCTGTTTTAATTAAAGTAAGTTCAGGAATTAATTAAAACTTATAATACAAAAAGTGAGCATCTTTTATTTACTCAAATAATTTGTCCTAATTATTTTCTTGTTAAAATAATGATTTTCTTTTAATTCTCAATCAATAGTTGCGTTAATCATTAATATCATTAGAGCTCCTTCCTACCGTACTGCATGGGTTTGACTTATCAAATCCGACCTCGACCTGACGTTCCTCTTTGGAACCCTACAACTAGTTAGAAGTTTGAGCTTTTTTGACGTAAAACATCAAAACACACTTGTGGAATTGCTGTTTCTTGTTTGTTTTCTAAAAGAACGCTTAAAAAATGATCAATTCTAGTATTGAGCATTTCATAGAAAAAAGAGGAAAGTGTCGTGGAAGAAAATTTCAAACCCGACCCGAACTCGGATCGAGTGTTGGGTTCACCCATGTCAGAGACTGAGCTTGGCAAATATAAGACTGAGCCGGACGAAACTTTCAGAGAATCGACTTTTAGAAATCGTTCTATACGTCCAAAACTGGAAACTCAAACGTTGGCCAAAGAGCTGAGCAAGTCACGGGTTTTCCAAGTCACAAGTCAAGTCAAGTCATCAAAAATTTTCTCAAGTCAAGTCAAGTCTCCGGATTTTCCAAGTCAAGTCACAAGTCATGACTTGAATTTTTTTCCCGTAGAAAACGGCATAAAAGAGTCTTCGTTCCTTGGTATTAGAACACAGACTTGCTATGCTATAGCAAAATGCGCGTCTCGTTACTGTGCGTAAATTCTTACATATTATAACATCAGCATTCCCAAATCATTATGAATTATTATTAAAAATTAGATTGCATAAGAGGTTTAAGAATATGCATGACTTGACTTGATTTTATATGCCAAAGCACAAGTCAAGTCAAGTCATAAGTCATCAAAAATTTCCCAGCTCAAGTCAAGTCACTTTTGACTTGACTTGACTTGCCCAGCTCTGCGTTGGCCTCATTTTTAAACTAATTCGCACTCTCCAGCATTCCATCTGGACAGAAGTCTTTAGGAAATATGAAACATTGCAGATAAGATAAATGATTCTGAGAAGGATGTAAAGTATTTCTTCACTCAATAGTGACTGCTTTAATAGTAGAAATTTATTTTTTGCCGATTTTTTTTCTCATAAAGCGTACAAAACAAAATTGTTGAAAAAAATCTGAAAACTTGTTTTTAGAGACAACAGAGGAGACTTTTGACAATGACATTATGTGTCATTCTACAAATCTATAAAATAATGGTTTCCATATATCCCTAGACAAACTTGCTGATTTTCTCTAGATTTTTAACAAAGTATGCGGCGTAGGGGTGGGACAGTTTCAGTTTCTAAGAACTGGTCACTACTATCCATACCAAAATACAGTGCCGGGTGCCACTTTTTGAATAACTTTTGATAAGAATGAGATAGAGACCTGCGATTTTCGCTGTTCAATAGCCAACACTTGAGCAGAACTTTTCACAAGCGAAACCAACTTTTGCAAAAATTCCAGAGATCAGGTTTCCAAAGAATCTTTGGAAAACCAGCTCCGTTCTCAGAAAACTAACATACAATGTTAGTAACTTTTTTGCATGCGTAGATAGTCCGGACGTTACTCTACAAAATTATGCAACTCCCGGCTCTCTAGCTATCGTCGT